TGTGCTCTTCCGATCTAAAACTATATTAAAAAGTGAGAAAAGAGAAATGTAATTATAATTATTATGGATCTTCTTTGGCGTATTTACTTGCCACTTCGTTGATTCGTACAGCCATGGCCTGCCTAATTTGGCTGGAATCTTTCTTTGGATGCCAATGTTTAATTTTTTGGAATTTTAAGGCTTTATCTAAAAGAAAGGTAATTTAAGATATGTATTTAAAAAATATATTATTTAAACTAAACTGATAAGTTAAGGAAATTAAGGATATGTGTGTTAGTCTATTCAAGGATTTTATAGTAAACTTACCTATAATAGCGGTTACTGCCTTAGGACAAAGATATGGTTTAATCAAGGATTTATCTGCGTATGCTAATTTCCCTTTACCTCTAGGTGGCATTCCTGATAGGGAGCATACAGATAGGGCTTCAGGAGTAAAAACTCCATCTAAGAGCCTGCGTCCAGCCATTGTAGCAGACGTTGCATTTTCTGCTTGAATATATTTTTCTTGTAGACAATATATAGATTTGACCTCATTCAAAGCAGTTCCCTAAAATAAAAACGTTAGACTTTAATATTATATAATAATATGATTAGCAACACAGCAATACAGTAACAGAAGTTTGTACATGCATACTTTGTTATAAAAAAATTCAAAACACATGTAACACAATATGAAACATTGTACTTACCAAAGCTGGATCTTTGACAAGGAACATATCCTCACTGAACATATTGTTCAATCCAGAAATTTTAATTTTAGGAACTGTATTGTTTACACAACCAGCTTTAAGAGTCTGCATAATATTTGAATTGCTGTTAATAAGACCTAGTTGAGATTTATCAACAGGTTCTGACTCAGGAGATTGAATGTCATGCATTTCAACCTCATTTTCAGTTTTAGACATTTCAGTAGATTCTGAATGTTTGCTTTGTGGTTCGGATCTTGCTATTTTGGAGTCATCACTCCCCATCGAAGCAATTAGTTCGTTCTCAGGTCTGGAATTATGCTGCATGAGAGCAGCTTTTGGCCCAAGAGAAACTAATTTTTCCAAAGTTTGAATATCAAACTTAGTAGCTAGTTGAGCAGCCAACTGCAAAACATAAATAACATTTTAAGATTTAAATAGATGTAAACGTAATGAAGGAAGATTAATGTTTCCAATTCAGATTTAATGTTTTTAATTTACATACGCTGCGAAGTTTCTTAGACTCTGAAATTGTATTTTCCTCCTTAGTATGCTCATCACTACTTGAACATGAAGATTCATCAGTAGAGACACTGTCATTATTTTCTTTATTACTGCCATTTTCTGTATCCTAAAATAAATATGAAATATGATAGAATGGAACATATATGGGTATAATATTGAAAAGCCAACAAAGATTTAAAAATGTTTTCTTTCTTTTCTCTTATTGGAAATTAAGAAAAAAGAGAAAAACTTACAGAACTGACAAGAGTTTTTGTATCAGAAGAAGAGCTCAGTTCAACAATATTTCCTTCCTCAGACTCCGTTAGATGATCATTCTCATCATGAAACATATGACTCATGTCTTTTTCCTTTTTCTTGGATAAAGCAGTTGGCATCAAGCTTTTCTTTTTTGTAAGATTTAAGAGTTCTCTATCTACAGTATTATTAGCCTTTGCACGGGCAGATTCCTTCATATATAGAGAGGAAAAAATATTTATATAAATACTACATGTATAAAATTTGAAATAAAACAAAAAATGTTTAAAATAACACAAACCTTTTTCTTAGATTTTGGTAATTCTCGTATAGAATTTGAAATTTTCCTTTTATTTGTGATTTTACGACAGCCCTCTCTGCATTTTATTTTTGCTTTTCGAGGTTCACTTGCGTGAAAAAAATCCTCTTTTTTTTGTTCTTTTTTCTTTTCCTCAGAATTAAGTCTTAGTGACTCTTTTACACAATCCTCATAGGTATCTAAAATGCAACATAAAAATTTTACAATACTAAAATTTATGCAGTATAGAATTATGCGAATTGTTATATATACTTTAAATAAAAAAATATTACAATACATTTTAGTTCATAAAAATTGAATGTTTAAGATAAGGAAATATTAAACGGCAATATAACCTAGAAAGTCATATCAGCACATTTTGTTCAGGTAAAAAGTTGTGTCCAACTTTAATATACGGAAATATACATACCGCTCATGAAGCGAATAATCCCTTCATGTTTCTTCTTACACCAGAAAAATGTTACAGCATCATTAATCTTGACGTGATCATCGTAAATGACATCAGTGTGATGCACAGTCGAGAAAGATTTTTCCTCCTTTTCGTATATCACAAAAAACACTTTATCACTTGCACTGCTGTTCCCTTCTGAAGCCATAATGACTACAATTGGTACGAAATAACAGACTAGCACATAAATCTTTTAGAACATTATGCAAAGGACTAAGACAAAGGACAACTTCTTAATCCGTTAGCTGGTTTTGGCGGGTTTCAAGCATAGAATATATACATATAAATGGAAGGGGAATGGGGAATCAATCTTCGTCATTCCCCTTCCATTTGTACATGATCTATGGTTTCAAACAATAACATTTGTAATCAAGTGTCGATCGAGTGTGCTCGAGTAGTGCTCGGTAAGTATAAAACACTGTACATAAATATATATATGTATAAATTATAATAATAATAATATTAATTATAATATTTTAATAACAATTATATTAATTATATTAATATTATAATATTAAAAGGATGCTAAAGTCGTCTGTTTTACCTCCGACAATACCTTTTTGTCGGAATTTCTACGTATTACTTTAATAGATTTGAAAATTCTTTTTCAAAATTAAAGTATACGTATTAATACGGTGTTGGCCGCTCGGAGTTTATACCGAAAACAAAAATATTTTTATAAATTAGATCTTTTTTACCATTTCTTAGCTCTATATATAACATCTAGAGCTATCAAGTCGAGGCAATGTATGCTTGATATAAAAACTCTGTAACTCGTTAATGTTTTTTTTTTAAGTTTTTCCTTCAGTACCAGTTTGTAAGATTGAATATATTTGTTCTTCTAATTGCAGAACTTAAAATTAAGTCTTATACATATATGAAACATGGATTCTTCACCATCATCACCCGCGCCTTCACACACTCCGCCATCCTCTCCAATACTACAGTCATCAAATTCACCTTCACCTATTCAAAGTCCTCTTAAGAAATCGAGAAGATGGCAAGTGTTTACACATGGAAATAAAGGAAATAAGCAGGTAAGTTGATAAAAATTACTTTAAGCGGTAGGTATAATTAAATGATGTAGCATCTTATATATTTCACATTTGTTTTTTTTTATATCAATCTGATCTGATATTATTTTATTGATGTTTAGAATCAAGAATAATTAACCAGAAGTGCGTATATCATAAGAACAAAGTAAAAATCTTATCAATTTTAAAAAAATATGCCATACTTCAACAGCAGTGTAAAAATTTAGTTTGGACTAATTGTAAGAAGGTATATGTATATTGCTATTTCTTTTTTTTCTAGCCATCAAGATCTACGCTTTATAACTGGAAGCGGACAGGATATTTCAAACAAAATTCTAATGAAAAGTTGCAAAAAAATGTTGAAAAAGAAATAAACAATGAAGAATTTGCTGTGAATAACCTTCTCAGTCAATCATCCTCAAGTAGCAGTGAAGCCAATGTAGAACCAGTTATTGTGAGCTTATCAAATCAAAAACAAGATAAAGAGGGAGCCGAAATACTGCTATCTAGCAGAGAAAATTACTTCACGGATTCAGATCGCAGTGTTTTCGATGTTGATGATATCAGAAGTGTATTTGAAAGTGATATTGAAAGTGTAATTACTGAATGTTCATTCCATGATGACGAGGTTTCGGTTAATACCCATGATGTCAGTTCAGAGTCAAATAATAAATCTGATACTGAAAATATTTTAAAGGAAAATAATGCTAATGGGGAAAAAATTAAATTGTATGATGGTTGTCAGCATACTGTTGATGAGGCTATTCTTGATTTGTTAGACAATCATTTAAATAATAAGGAAACAAAAAAAAGTCTTCACGATCATCTTTCAACCTTTTTAAAATATCTACCAAAGTCAAATAATTTGCCTAAATCTGTTTATCATATTTTAAAATATGTAAGGGATTTGGCTCCATTGTACAAGGAGACTGAGTATCATTATTGTTCAAAATGTTTTGCTTTACGGTCTTGTGATGATCCAGTTTTATGTATTGTGTGTAATTCTTCGGAGCAAAAAACGTTTTATGGCTTTTCTATTGAAGATCAGATTAAACATTATTTTGAAAACTGTAGACTTCATGAAATTTTAAGAAAAAGGAAAAGTGTTAAAGATACCATAGGAGACATTTGTGATGGTTCTGAGTATATAAGGGTGCAAAGCAATTGTCAATACGGAATAACTTTGATGCTAAATACAGATGGAATTTCTTTAAGTCACAGCTCAAAAACTAGTCTGTATCCATTATTGTTTACTATATGTGAAATTCCACCTAAATTAAGATCTTCCTTTATAATACTTAGTGGAGTGTGGTGTGATAGTGAACAACCTTCGATGAATATATTTTTGAGAGTATTTGTTAATTCTTTGGTTGATATTCATAGTAAGGGTGGTGTAAGCTGGATACATCCAGATAACTCTGACATTCAGATAACTTCGCCTGTTGTAGCTCCAGCTATATGTGCTGATGCTCCAGTCCGAGCTCAGTTACAGAACATTACGAGCCATACTGGTTTATATAGTTGCAATAGCTGTGAACAGAAAATGGAAAAAATTTCTCTGACTGCTGATGAATTAATATTAGTTACTCAAGGACAAAATGTTAAAAGAAAAAGTGCCTTCTTGTTCAGAGAACAACCAGCTCGTCTTCGGACTAATGAACGAATGTTAAAACAAGCTAGAAAAGCAGTCAAAGAAACAGAAGCAGTCAAAGGTGTTAAAGGTCCATCTGTTCTGTCTTTGATTCCCTATCTTGATCTTTCAAAATGTGTGTTTGGAGAATACATGCATCTTGTCTGTTTAGGTATTGTGCGCCGTTTTATGAATCTATGGTTTAATTGTAATGAAGGTGAATGGTATATTGGAAATCAAGTGAATGAAGTTAATCAGTTTCTCATCAATATTCAACCATCAAGCATTATAGGCAGATTGCCACGAGGAGTTTCAGAAATAAAATTCTGGAAAGCTAGTGAATTTAGAGCATTTCTCTTATATTATTCTCTTCCAACTCTTTCTAAGTTTTTACCTGATGTTTATTTGCAACACTGGATTCTTTTTGTAATATCCATTTATTTACTTCTTCAGGAAGACATAAAACTTTCTGATATTGAAATGGCGGAAACAATGCTGAGAATGTTTGTAAGAAACATTGGAACTTTGTATAGACCTAGGGATTATGTTTACAACGTACATGAAGTTCTTCATCTTCCATTATATGTCAAAAGATGGGGACCTTTGTGGGCTACTTCAGCTTTTATTTTTGAAAAATACAATGGGGTTATCTGCCAACTTATTCACGGAACAAAAAATAAAGGGAAGCAGTTAATCAACAATCTTAGAATTGCCCTTGGAATTGAAATTCTGAGACATAGAGTTCATGATTTTAACACTGCTAGGATTCAAAACACTCATAATTATCAACTTTTGAACTATAATTGTGACTTAAAATGTCTAACAGTTTTAGATCAAGATTTTCTTCATGCTTTTGGTTTTATTAAACCGTATATTGTATTTTCTAGAGTTCAAAATGTTCAAAAAAGAGAAATATTTACCTCACTGCTGTATCGCAGAGAAAAAAAGCGAAATAATTACACAGTATATTTTCAAGATGAACAAGAACAGTATTCAGGTTATGGTGAAATAAAATTCTTTGTTAAGAAAAGTCTAAATGATAATAACAATAATGTTTATGCAGTAATCAATGTTTTCAAAATAATTCATACCGCTATTTTTTTTCATGAAGCTAGTCGTATAAAAGTTAGTCACATAATTCCAGTTATGCCCTCGAATGAATTGAAATGCATACCCTTTCGGTATGTGTTATTTAAAGTTATAAGGGTTGGAAATTTTGTGTGTCGTAGTCCAAACTTTATCGAAAAAAATTTATAAAATTGTACTTATGGTCACTCATTAATGTAGTTGTTTGTGTACTGTACTTCACATAAAAATAGATATCATTGCGATATATCATTGCAGATATCAATTTTCCATTTTTCAATTTCTTGTGTGGTTTGTTCATGTGTGTTTATGTGAAAAATTGTATGTCTTGTGTCTTTTTATTTTTCTTTGATAAAGCAAAAAATAACATATGTCTTTGGAAAACAAACTGCTGTTTTTTCTTCATAATCATTTTCTATTACGTATCTCACCACATATAGGCTTCTGTTATAAAGCAATACAGTATACAGGATTTTTTAAAAGAGTGGAAACGGCCAAAATTATCTTTGAAATTATATTGGTACGTCTTATAAAAAAATGTTTCGACAAAAGTTGTATTGTGGTTTGGTGTTATAAATAATGTAAAATTAATTTTAGAAAAAAATCAAATTTTCAAGGATACATAAAGATCATTTTCATT